ACTGGAGGAGCAGGAGACACAGGCAACACCAGGGTGGGTATCACCTGGTGCGGTCACCCTGCATGCATTAGGTCCGTGGTGTGACATCTTCACGAATGCGCAGTGATGTACTTCACTGCCAGTGGCCATCTTTGTGATGAACGGCGGCAAAGAGAAGAGGGGATATTGACCCGGTGGGATCAGGTATGCCGCCGGTTTCCCCCTTCTCTCTTGTGCTGCTGTTAGGCTCTCAGTCCATGACCAAGTGTCCCACTTTTAAGAGAGGGTGACAGCAAAATGACTGTCAGTCGTTTGGGTGTCACCCGGTGTGGGCCATACCCCCCTTGTGACGCCACTAGTCACAGGAGCACTGAGTTACTGGGGTCGCTGGAGTGCACGGGGGTCAAAGAATCTGTGAAGGCACCTGAGTCAATGGAGGCACAGTGTATTATTATATGTTTTAAACATATATGTATGTTGCAGGCAGACGTATGTGCTCATTACATATGCAGGGCTAGCTCCTGCTTCACAGCACTACACAAAGATTGTGCTTTACCACTCCTTCTCACAATGCAAGTCTATGAGCCAGCCAACCCCGCTGAAAACATTGCACGCCCCATGATATCTTTAACAATAAATCCTCTTAATCCCCTAAACACTGAAAGAACAGGCTGAGCGTGGGAGGGCCACTGAACCCATCTGCTTCTACTGCTTTGCATTATGTTGTCTCCTTAACATGTTACAGGCACTGGGGACAAGGGGTGTTTAGGCTTCCTCTTGGAAAGAAGAAAGAGAGAGGAGCCTCAACCACTGTTCAATGAGCAGACTGAAGGTCTGTAAGATAGGAGGCACGGTTTTACCTTATTCCAACGTCAGCGCGCTGGCCTCAAAATTGGATTGTTGTACTCATTGTAAAATCCTTTTCTTGGAGTCCATTGAGGGACACAGGAAGTCAATAACTGTCGGGTTATACTGGAGGACTTGACACTGGCAAACAGACTGTAAGCTAACCCAGCATAACCCTCCATTACCCAGCATGCCTCGGCTTCCTAGCAAAGACGTACCAAGGGCATGATCATAAAACTCAGTGGACTCAACTCTCGTCCCAATGGACTCGACTCACCCCGTCCCAATGGACTCGACTCACCCCGTCCCAATGGACTCGACTCACACCTGCAGCTCAGAGCCACCTGAAGGCCCTTACACCCTGAAGCTGGCATCAGGTGAGGCTGCAACGTCTACCTGGTAAACCGTCAGAAGACCAGGAAGCAACCGTGGAAATCTGGGCAACAGTAGCCCAATGCCAAAAAATGGGTGCGTGCATTGTTACAAAACCCCCCAGAACAAAACCGATAACAAGCACGAGGGTGCTTGGTCCTCTTCTGTAATAGAGGGCCACAATATCACTGAGCCCACCCAGGGCGCAAGGCTCCTGACAGGGGCAAAGCATTCTAGTCCACCTCGCAGTTAGGCCAGATGGACCTCGATCCAGCCAAATCAAGCCCGCCAAGTACTCAGTAGGGGCTCTACTGAGTGGAGGAAGGAAAAAAGACCCATGAAGGCCACAGATCCTCCCCAACCCAAAAAAAAGGCAGGCCCCCGAAAGAACTGCACCCTCTGTGGAGTGAAAAATACGAAAGTTGGTGGACATGGCACGTCTTGCAGCCGGTCTAAAGGTTTCTCCAGACTAGCCATATCGTGTGCAAGAAAAGCAGTAAGGTGACCATGTCCCACACTGGGGCACACCAATCCCATTGTTTCTCTGGCACCCCTGGGATGCCAACCGCAGTAGGCACATCACTGGGAGCTCCTTGCACTTCCAGCCCCTGGCCAGACAAGGGCAGCCCCCATTTTAGCAGAAGGCATTAGCACCGGAGTACCACCAGACTACAATTGGGGACAAGCCTGGTGCACCAGGCCAACATCAACCCAGGAGGAAAAGAAAAGCCCTTCAGCACCCACCTATTACTTCAGGGAACAACAGACTGCCAACCTCTTCAAGGACGACACCATTCTTCCCCAAAGACTGATAGGAACAGATTTTTTTTTTTTTTTTCGAAGCCCGTGGACGTGCATCAAAACAAACTTCCCCCTGTGAACAAAAAAAGTGCAACCGTGAAATCACAGCACACAAAAACGTGCACAAGGGTGCAAGGTCCTTCAAAAGAAGGAAACTACTTTCCCGACCCCCCGGGGCGCAAGGCTCCTGACAGGGGTTGAGACTGTTGGCCCACCAACCCGAAGGCCGGTGGACCATTTCCGTCGGGGACCTGCCGAAACAGGTCCCACACAGTACTAGGCAGGGGGGATCTCCCGAAGAGAGACCCACCTCCTGGGTGGGAGACAGAGAACCCCGTAAGAGGCACAGAATCTCCTCCCAGCATCAGGAATAGGCCCCGAAGAAACCTGCACCTTCAGCAATCTGTGGGTCAAAAAGCTTTTGAAAAAAAAGCCAATCGTGCATAGAGTGCATAAGTAATACTAAAGTGCCAGTGCACCACGCTGACAGGCCTTAGGGACCGGGTGCAAAAAAATTGCCCCGGACTAGCCATAAGGCCTGTCCAAGAGGCGTTGTGCAGAAAAATGCAAGGTGGTGTGTGACCAAGTGATCAGTGAGTCAATGTGGGGTCCCACACCCAAGTGACTTCCTGAGCACCCCTGGGACGCCACCCCCAGGGGGCACAACACCACGGGCTTCTGCCGCCCCCAACCCTCTATCCTCGACCAAGCTTCGTATCCATTCCTACCAGGAGATAGTCCACCTTCAGAGATCCCTCCGCCGGAGCCCACCCATTAACAAGGGTCGAAAGCTCCGAGGGCCTGGAACCTCATCCGGCTCCCTACCAATTACGCCAGGAATCTACTAGGCCGTCCATCTACCCCGCTCAAGTGGCAGCAGACTTTCAATCCCCGACAACTGATAGGAGCAGATACTAAATTTGATCGAGCCAAAAGGGCTGAGTGGGCCTTGGAAAGAAAGGGGGGAACCTGATGTTTGAGACCATAAGCTTGCATAATAGACTGTCTTAGCCACCTAGAGATGACCAGACCCCGGTTCACCTTTACACGGACCATCTGGTAGAACCAAGAGACTTGACTGAAGAAACAAAGAAGAGCTGGTAAAAGTTCATGATGGTCTCTGCAGAGCATGGAAAAAAAGACGTCCACACTCCTAGGACATCAGCAAAAACTGAGGCATGCTGGGAGTCGGAGGGGTTATCTTGGGCTGGCCTACAATCTTTGGTTTCCAGATGCTTAGTCCTCCTGCAGGCGGCAGTATAACCGGACAGTCTCTGAATGCCTGTGTCCTTCAATGTACGAGGAAGATTCTAATTCAATTCACCGTAATGAGACAATTTCACAGACGCAGCGGAGATCATGTTCTTCACTCCCAGATTGTATATTCCAGCAGAGCCGTATCCCCCAGATCAGATTTCTTCATTACAGGATGTTCTGTATACAGATTATTCCATCACTCTCCCCTCTAGAGATCTGCAGAGCATTGCTCCGTCCCATCTCCCTCCTGACAGAAACATATTGATATATTCTGCAGATTATTCCACCACTGACCCCTCTAGAGATCTGCAGAGCATTGCTCCCTCCCATCAGATACATATTGATATATTCTGCAGATTATTCCATCACTCTACCCTCTAGAGATCTGCAGAACATTGCTCCGTCCCATCTCCCTCCTGACAGATACATATTGATATATTCTGCAGATTATTCCACCGCTGACCTCCCTAGAGATCTGCAGAACATTGCTCTGTCCCATCTCCCCCGCTGACAGATACATATTGTTATATTCTGCAGATTATTCCATCACTCTCCCCTCTAGAGATCTGCAGAACATTGCTCTGTCCCATCTCCCCCCTGACAGATACATATTGATATATTCTGCAGATTATTCCATCACTCTCCCCTCTAGAGATCTGCAGAACATTGCTCTGTCCCATCTCCCCCCCTGACAGATACATATTGTTATATTCTGCAGACTATTCCATCACTCTCCCCTCTAGAGATCTGCAGAACATTGCTCTGTCCCATCTCCCTCCAATCTGCAGAATATATAATATGTATCTGTCAGAGGGGAGATGGGATGGAGCGATGGTCTGCAGATCTCGAGGGGTCAGTGGTGGAATAATCTGCAGAATATATCAATATGCATCTGTCAAGAGGGAGATGGGACGGAGCAATGGTCTGCAGATCTCTAGAGGGGTCAGTGATGGAATAATCTGCAGAATATATCAATATGGATCTGTCAGGGGGGAGATGGGACGGCGCAATGTTCTGCAGATCTCGAGAGGTCAGTGGTGGAATAATCTGCAGAATATATCAATATGCATCTGTCAAGAGGGAGATGGGATGGAGCAATGCTCTGCAGATCTCTAGAGAGGTCAGTGGTGGAATAATCTGCAGATTATATAAATATGTATCTGTCAGGGGGGAGATGGGACGGAGCAATGCTCTGCAGATCTCTAGAGGGGTCAGTGGCGGAATAATCTGCAGAATATATCATTATGTATCTGTTGTGTATTCAGATTTATATCCTTCCGGTGGTGAAGGGTTAAGCGCTATACTGCTGCCAGTTGGGGGGGGGCCTTGTGAACATCA